AGCCGAGTCTGTATTTACTTCACTGAGCCTCGTCAGTCCCTGAGCCATTCTCTTGTACGTTATTGTGTTAGATAATTTCACAAGCCAACATTTTACGCTATTATTGTTCAAATGAGCCAGTTTTTCGTCAATCTTTATACTTGAAGCAGACTGCGAGTTGGAATCTGAGCTCAAAGCAATATGTATCTCATTCTTTTTCATCTTGACCACAACGGCTTCCAAGTCAACTTGCTCAAGATCTTCGTGTGCTTCCTGATCAGACTTCTTGGATGAGTTTTTTAGCTTCTTGGGGTTGTAATCAGAAGCCTGGTAACTATCCAGCACTACCATGTCACCGACCTTGAAATCTCCAAATTCTAAGGACTCATCTGGTTGGTCTTTTTGCTTCGATTTCCTTTTTGATCCCACAGTGCTGGAATGCTTGGCTAATTCAATGATGGTCTTACCACCGTATCCAGGTCTCGTGTTGGTGATCTCAAGCGATAAGATGGCGAGGCCTTTAGATTGAAGCTGTTTGGGACTCAATGATGCGAGAAGTTGAGCCGTTGTCTCCGAGTCTTCTTTCTGTTCTATCTGTAGGGAATCCTGAAAGGATTTGGATAACCTGGACGCTGACATTGGGTAGCGTTAGAATATCGAAGCAGTAGACTCTGAAGAAAAAAAGACTGAGATGAGATTGAGAAAACTGCCAGACAGCCCAACAAACAGCAACTTTTGGCAGTAGCAAGAACAGATGCGATAGGCTACGATACTACTTAGATACCACGAGTATCATTTGGAACTCCCCTGCGCTGGTTTCCCTCCCTATATGGCCCATCCCTCTTGATAATCAATCCACTCAGAGAAAGACCGACTGCATTCAGATGCCCCTGTTCATTCACTCCGTCTACAATCCAGTTCTACTCTAATCGTTATTGTGTAACCTAAAAAGTCATACACCTTACATAATAGTGAGGTCTCCAAACTTCTCCTTGTAGCCAGGAACTTCCCATCTGTGATTGGTAACCATGGAGTTAACCTTTTCTTGAATATCTGGTCTGGCCTTTCTGACGTCATCAACAGTCAACTCGTCGAATGATCTGGCACCCTCAATGTTTGCCAAAGTGGCAGAGAGTTGCTCCAACTCATCCAAGACAACGGTTTCGGTGTTCTTTGCATTCTCCAAAGCCTTAGCTTCGAAAGACTTGATCAAGTTCAATTGTTTGTCCAATGGGAATTGAGATGGCTTGAAAGCCTTAAGATCAGACTCAACTTGGGAAACAATATTCTGGTTCTTCAAGGTGCTCTTGTAGAACTCAACGTCAACGGTGGTTGGTTGTTGCTTGAGTTCAAATAGGGCTCTTTGGGCCTCATCGTGTCTCTTCTTGAAAGAAGTAAGAGAAGCAGCGGTAGAACCGGTCAGTCCCAATTTAGAGATGATGGTGGCCCAGTCGAGTTTGGTGGCGGCTTGTTTGGCAACAGATGACATCTTGAAAAGTCTGGGTTGTTGATAGGTGTTGAGAATGTCGAAGTAGGAGTTCTGGTTTTTCCCCTTGAACCTGTTGGCCAATCAGAGAAATTTTGGAGAAGAAGTCGCGATTGTCAAGAGGGACCGTAGGTGGTAGGAGCGTTGCTAGGAGGGAGCCCGGCGGGTGCGCTTGCAGGGAAATCGAGAATGGTAGCAGTTGACTGGGAGAAGGAAATTGCATAAGACAACTTGACGAGGGGAAATAAACGAAGACCACTTAGCTTATAAAGAGTGGCTAGTGATATCTTGTGTTTCCAAAGAGTTTGCTACTGCATTGATACGAACTACTGTTCAACTTAGGACCCCGCTTAAGACCCAGCTCTGAGTGGTGTTGAGATGTACTTAAGCTGGTTTTCCAGTTCCTTTGAAGTGAAAAATACGTAAATGGTCCGTATCTGTTTGCTCTGGACGCCAAAGAAGCAGACTCTAATTCCTAGCAACTCAAACGGAGCAAAGAGAGGATAGCTCCTTCGACAGTTAGCCTAACAAAAAGAGATTGCAGCACCTGAGTTTCGCGTATGGTCTCCCACTACACTACTCGGTCAGGCTCTTAGCAGCTTAACTACGGTTGATCGGACGGGAAACGGTGCTTTCTGCTAGATATGGCCGCAACCGCAAGGGTAGATCTGCGGTCGGTCATATCATATTGATTATTTCACGCCTTGACCAGCACGCGTAGCCAGGACCCTTGACTTTTGAATTTTGAGCTCATTCTAAATAAGGGAACTCTTTAAACATGATTAGATCTTAGTTTCATCTCTTTGACAGGCAATAAAGTTATGCATTGAGTTTGTCATAACCCTAGTAGCAATTTTTCGTCACAGAATAGGACTGTTCCAGTCACACTTCCAAACTTGCCTTAGAAGTCCCTCGGGTATATTCGTAGCACCTCGGATTAGTTTATTAAATTGAAGTAGCAAAGAGAGCATGCAAACCATAATATACTTAATATGAACACAAACGGGATCTCTCGAGTTTACGTGAAATTTCCAGCCAAGAAACCCCAGATCTCCGTGGTCCCAAATAATTGAACTTGGAAGGATAATTTTTGCTATGAGCCATCATTGTTATGTCAGAATTGACTTGAATCGTAGGCACTTACTCCACACTAACGTCTGGAATACTACATTACTATAATCTATCTACGACAGGTTCTCATAGGCTCGTGGTACCTTCAAACACAATCATCTGAACGTTGAGGAGCCAGAAATGTTCGGGCTCTAATCACCCTTGCAGCAATAATACAATGGTTGGACGACATTATAACCTTACGAGAATAATAGCTCAAGTTTGAATGCATTTACCCCAGATCATCAACGTCGGAACATAGAAGTTCAACTTCCGCACCGGAGGTTTGATAATTATTTTGCTATGGGGGATGCCATAAGCAGGAGATGCATGAAACTATCGTGCGGCGACTTTATTTTTCAATCTGCATACCATATATTTTCACAGGAATCCTTGCAAGCTACAACTCAGAGCCAAAGTCTCAGATCTGTATATAAGAATGTAATGTACCATACTCGTCGCTTCTGCTCTTCAAATTAGCAGCCTTTTCTTTTTACTAATCCTGATATCAGCAATAAGTTTTTTTCATCTACTGTTTAGGAAAAGATGAACGCAACTGAGTTAAGTGTCAACGAGTGAATGCTATGCTTACTAGACTGCTTATTGTTTGTTTGGAATGGATAAACTGCACGAATGATATCTACGTATCCGAACCTTCAGGCACGCCAGTTCAACTAGCTCCTCTATTGGGTCTAAACCAGTAAGGAGGTTGAATCAATGACTTCCAGGTTCGTTGAGCTACAGAGTAATATAAGGTAAGTAATTGAGCACTGCAAAATTAACTACGCTGGTTGAATGTTTCCAGAAAACACATTTAGTGACTCTTGTGCCAATAAAAAGGGGTCGTCAATGGTGTGCTTCTCCTTATTCACCCCAAAAGCCTCGAGAATGAGATCGATATCTGTAGGTCTATAAGTAAACTCAGTCATGGACAGATCCGGAGGGGGTATCTTGCTGATCTTGCGTGTTTTGGTAAGAATCTCACCAAGCTTCACTTGAACCTCCTCTTTCTCTATTTCACTGGCAATCAGATAGCTCTCATGATAGTCTTTCAGAGCATGGTTAACAATTGCTTCTCTAGTGCCACGAGATCTGTTTTCCGGAATCATAACCAATGGTCTTCCTTTGGGAAGAACAACGTAGTCTCTGACTGCCAGGTAGTCTATGAGCTCCTCAGTAACCAAGCTCTCTATCAGAGCAGCAGTAATTTTTGGTCTGACAATGGGAACCTCAATCTTTGTTGCTGCAAATTGGACCAATTCTTTCTTGGTGAGTCCGACTGGTGCCTCGAGACCACGAACTTGCAGGAACAGGTCGATCTTTAGAGGGGACCAACTGAAGGTTAGTAATGAACTTCAACTTAGGAAAATCAATACTCACTAGCTTATAACTTGTTCGTGTTTAGACATATTGTTGGAAGACCCGACATTTGTGGGTTCTTCGGGCCTTTTATTGATGTGGGGTTTTTGAATGATGTCAGTCTGCGGAAGTGGGTCAAAGAAATTCCACCCTCGGTATTTTTCTTCAATGTATATGCGGCTCAAAATGAACCTTTGAAACTCGGATTTATATAGATCAAATAAACCCAGTTGATGTGTAAGAATCTGGGGTTACGTGAAGTGTATGTCAATGTCAAGTTGGTCGTATCATCGATTTCATGATTGTCTGTCTATCTGAAGGATGAAGTTGAGCAAAACCTTGCAAAACCTTGCTCTGATTCACTTGAACCCGTTCCAGACTGTGGATGGTAAGCTGACGATCTCTCTGTTAAAATAATTCTGTTCGGTCGGTTTGCATGAAATGAAAGAATCTTAACAATCATGGAATAATTACTGAGATAACTGAATGGGCATTCATCCATGAAATGAGATGTCTGAAAGTTCACATTTAAGATCCTCGTAGAACGATACTGACAAAGCTCTTTCTGGCCATATAGTTTGATAGTAAAGTGCCACATGTTTGATCGCACTTCAATCGGTAAAAAAAGACTCAACCTGTTAACAGCGTTCTACTTCAATTGTCTTGAAGCCGAATTTCTCCAAATTGTCATCGTAGATACGAATGGATCACATGAATCGTTCAATCATCTAAGAATGCACAGCTTATCTCCTTTTCTTCGTAGAGAAATCCTCTGAAGGAATCTAGAACTATAACTTTGCAAAGTTTTGAGCATGACTAAGAGTAATGGATTTAAGACAATCCTCGTATCTCCTTAGCGATGACAATAAGTTGCTCTACCGACTATCCAACCGTTTCCGACCTCGGAAAATAAATCAATGAATCAGAACGGCTCTAAAAAACAACTCAAGTAAACCGAAGCAAAGCGAGTAATGCCTCAACGTCCAGAACTCTCAATTCACCCAACCGAGAACGGAAAAATCACTCCACAGTATAACCGTCGCACATCAAATACTTCTCACTGTTCAGCGCCGTGACGCAGTGGAAGCGTGTAGGGCTCATAACCCTAAAGTCGATGGATCGAAACCATCCGGCGCTACTTTTTTTTTTTTTGCTCAAAGTTTAATATTCACTCTAGGCCTCTTCCTGTGCAAGCTGCGAGATCACCTTCTTCCCCCACAGAGACTCTTCCCGTAATTGAACGACTCCCTGAAGGGTCATATCTTATTCGCGCATCATGTGGTCTTCATGCAAACCTTAAGACCCGAGGAGCAACTGCTGAACCCTTGAACTACCCGCATCGTCCCTCTCTGTCAAGAGCCTAACATGCTGTCATCTGATCATTTAAGGGGTAGATTGCAACCAATCTGCATCCTCTAATGGGCCCCTTGGCTCAGCTCAATTTCACCTTTTTCTTGGCTCTTCCTCGCCATGGGTAGCATGATGCTCTAGATAAAAAAAAGTTGTAGTATCAAAAGAGACTTGAAGACTAAATTTTAAAGGATTTATCGGACAGAATGTTTATCTGATCCATCTGTATAGGGAATGCAGTCCATTAACCAACTCCAATTGTGGAAAACTTTTCGTAAATCATGCATAATATATAACTGGCAATTGACTTGGTTTTTCCTTTCCTTTGTCTTCACTTCTTATTCCTTTAAAGTTGTAATATACGATGAAGTTTAACACATTAATCACATTAGTTGCCCTGCCATCGGCCATCTACGCTGCTGCCGTTCCTCAGCCAACTGCAAAGGCCCAGTATCCAAAGCGTCAGATGGACATCTCCAACCAGAATGTCTTGTCCGATAAAGTCTGGACGACCACCAACAACGAGAAGATTACTCCCACCGTTATCGATGGAGTAACCCTGTCCGCTTCCCCAGTTACCAACTCTGCAACCCCATGGGTCTCGTTGGATAGCTCTGGTATCCCATCCGGTGTTACCCCAAGTGTGAAAGACGGTTCTACCATTTCTGCTTCTCCTACTCCATCTGACACTAGTTACCCAACTCCAGATGCAGTGCCCCCAGTATTGCGTTGTATGAACGATAGAGTTCCTGCTGACAACACCCTTGCTTACCCATTCTGTGTCCAAAACGGTACCGAATTCCTGGTTGGCGAGACCTACTGGATCACCTGGGACCCTACCTACTGGGGAGGGGACGATATCACCCGAGTCAAGTTGCAAATTAGAGCTTATCCTCTGAAGGATGACGAAGACCCAGTGTTTGTTACTGATTGGGTCTCAAATGCCGACGGTTACTACATCTTTGAATCCAAGGCCTCTAATATGAGAACTGGCAGTGCCGGATGGGGATTCTTGAACATCACTCCTCAAACCACCGCTAACACGAACGCCAAGCACGTTGGTACCAAGTCCGGACCGTTGGTGAGAATATTGACATCCAAGAGCGACGCTGACTATGCCATTTCTAGAGTGCCATCTGACAACGGACTGTCCCAAAACAAGAGCTCTAGCAATAATGCCAAGGTGATTGCTCCTGCTGTTGCTATTCCAGTTGTCGTCCTGATCTTTGTCGGATTTGGTGTCTATTGGTACATCAACAAGCAAAAGAAGCAGGGTCTCAACATCGGTGGTGGAGGAGGCTACTTCGGCTCCAAGGCCGAGAGAACTGGTGCTGGTGCCGCAGGAACTGCAGGTGTCAACCACGATCTTGCCTCTACCGCTTCTGCTGACCTGGAGTCTCACATAACCCACGATGCTCGTACTATCGACACCGTAACTACCGGTAACACAGCAGCCAACCCTTTCAAATGATTATGGCTTCAAAGCATGGGGTTCCCTATTTATTCATAGTTTCAGCCGTTTGGTGAGCTGTCAGTTTTATGTTTTTTGGCAATTTTTATCTTATCTTAATGAGTTCAACATATTTTTATTCCTTTATCTTATCCCTCTACCTTCTATGTATATATATATGAATGGCTATTATATGGAGATGTGATTGCTTTATCGGCGCAACGCCTTGGCTTGGAGTACCCTCTTCCGCCCTTCGCGACCTGCCTTCTAGGGCATTTCCCCCTATTGTTTTAAACTTATTATCCTGGCTTTCCCTTATTTAGAGGCAGATAGCAATTAACCCTTCTTGTCACCTTTAAATGTTGGAGTCTCTGGCAGCTAACATCCTTAACAGGTTCATTGGCGCTTACATTGAAAACTTTGACAATAACAAGCTTAATATTGGAATATGGAGTGGAGATGTCAAGCTGAGAGATCTGAGATTGCGAAAAGAGTCCCTTGATGAGCTTCGGTTGCCCATTGACGTCCAATTTGGCCATCTTGGAGAGCTTACGCTTCAGATTCCGTGGTCAAACTTGAAGAGCAAGCCCGTGAAGATCGTCATTGACAGTGTTTATGTACTAGCCACGCCCAATGATCCTTCAAAGTTTGATCCCGAAGAGCAAGAGAGAAGGGAGCAGAAACTCAAACAAGACAAATTGGACCAGCTGGAAATGTTGGCCAATTCCAAGCCTATGAAGTCTGACGAAGATGAAAGGGAATTGGACCAGCAGGGCATTGAGAAGAATGAGTCTTTTGTTGAGAGTTTACTGACGAAGATCACCGATAACGTTCAGGTTACGATCAAGAACATCCATGTTAGATACGAAGATTTTGATGTCTTTACCAACAGACCCTATTCAGTTGGTTTCACTCTTGGTGAATTGTCTGCGGTGTCCACAGATTCCAATTGGATACCCAACTTTATATCTTCTGTTACCTTGTACACGCACAAATTGCTCACTTTGGACTCGTTTGCTGTTTATTGGAATACCGAAACAACTTCAATTTCAGATCCCGATCCTGAAGTTCTGCTCACGAGTTTTAAACAATCATTGGACAACAGATCGGACTCTCAATACATCTTAGAACCAGTCTCTGGGTTGGGTCATGTCACCTTGAATAAGGTGGGAACAACCGAATCAGCTCCCCATGTTGCCTTGAAATTATTTTTTGAGGAATTTGGGGTCAATCTGGACGGTGACCAATACAGAGATTTCTTGTGGACTGCATCTCAATACCATCTATATCTGAAAACCAGGAAATTTCGTAAGTTGCGACCCAAGTGTACTGTGAAAGAAGATCCTTTGAAATGGATGCAATATACAGCTAAATGCATTCTACAGGAGGTTCACGAGAAGAACCGCAAATGGTCCTGGAAGTATTTTGAGTCTAGAAGAGATCAAAGAAAGCTTTACATCAAACTATGGAAAGAAAAACTTGAAGGTAGGCAACTTGAAGATGACAAGCTTGAACAGTTCGAAAACCTTGAGCATGAGTTGTCTTATCCTGATATAAGGTTTTATAGATCTCTTGCAAGAAGGGAATTCAGAAAGGAAAAAGCAACATCACCTTCAAACACCTTGTCAAACCAAACAGAGAAAAATACTTCTGGAGGGTGGTTATCAATGATATGGGGATCTTCCCAAAAGGATTCTCCAGTCGAAGAATCTCAAGATCAATTAGAATTGACAGAGGAACAAAGAAAGGAACTCTATGATGTGATTGACTTTGACGAGAAGCAAGCGATTACTGAGGCTGTAGAAATACCAAAGGACCGGGTCACATTGGAGGTGTCTTCAGTGTTGCAAAAAGGATTTTTTGCAATCAAGAGAACCCAAAACTCAAACAATCTATGTGAAGTCGTATTTGAAGGTTGCTATTCTGAGTTTTTCCAACGCCCAGACTCTTTCTTAGCAAGATTTCAGCTTGATGAATTGCGGGTAGAGGATGGTACTGAAAATACACTCTACAAGCATATTGTCAATGTTAAACCTTTGGGAGACCCTGAGTTAGTTGCACACACCCCAGAAGGTAAACGAGAGCCCTTCTTTCAGCTTGCTTTTGAAAATAACCCTTTGGATGGATCCGCAGACTCATCGCTAACTGCTAGAATGAAAAGTATGACAATTTTCCATAATCCAAAACTGATAGAGGATGTTGCAAGATTTTTCACACCTCCAAAGATTCATTTAGAGACAGTTGGTGCTATAATTAATGCTGCAGAATCTACTTTGGAAGATTTTACAATGCAAACTAGGATTGGACTGCAGTACGCGTTAGAAGAGCACAAAACAATCAATTTGAAATTAAATATGCAGTCACCTCTGATTATTATACCTTTGGATCCTTCTAGTTGGAAATCCCCTGTGGCAGTCCTAGACGCTGGACACATCTCTGTTGCAAGTGATCTAGTGGATCCGTCAAAATATCAAGAAGTCACGGACAAAGTTTCCAAGCAGTATGATGACAATGACTGGAAAACATTGAAGGACTTAATGTATGATAAGTTTACTCTGAAAATTCAGGATGCTCAAATTCTAATTGGACAAAATATCAAGGCGACCATTTCACAGCTGCATGGAAATTCTAGTAATGTGTCGGCGACAATTTTGGATAATTTAAACATGAACTTTTCGCTTGGAGTTTCAATTGCTCAATCTGTCATTTCCTTACCGAGATTTAAGATTGGAGGAGATGTGCCGAGGATCAGAGTTGCTCTCAATAATTTTCAGTACAAAGTGATCATGCAACTGCTTGAAACTGCGATTCCTGACCTAGACAATGTATCGGAAGATGCTGAAACCAGTAAAGAAAATGGTTTTACGCTTGCAAACAACAATGAATCTACCGAAAAGTTTAGTTATGAGGTTCCCGATGATGTTTCGTCTGCAGGTTCAGACGAGAAGCCCATGCTTTCAACTCAAAAATTGTTTGTATTTAACTTCACTCTAGACACGATAGAGGTTTCATTACTGAGATGCGACGACGCTTCAACATTTGTTTCCGAAACATTGATTCGTATAATCGGAAAGAAAGTACAATTGGATTTGTTCAAGACATCTAAACAACTTCACGTTGATCTCTCGCTTTTAGACATCAATGTGGAGGACTTTATTGAGCAATCAGGAGAAAACGAGTTCAAATATCTTCTATCCTCGGACAATTTTGAGGAACATGAGATAGTCAACAAGAGGGGCAATCTGTTCACTTTAAGTTATGATAAAACTCAAAGAATCGTACCTTTGAATGGTGAGCAAATTATTTGCTTCGACCAGGATATTGATTTGAACATTGCT